CACATGCCAATTACTGGGGAATGCTCTAATTTTCTAGCATAGAAAGAAATAAAATAGTGTTGCCTTGTCAACTATTGAAGCAGAGTATTTAGCTGTTGGAAGCTGCTATACACATATTCTTTGGATCATGCATCAACTTCTCGATTATGATTTATCTCTTACTTCCACTCCTTTTTTTGTGATAATACAAATGCTATATGTCTGTCAAAAAATTTTGTGCATCATTCTAGGGCAAAACATATAGAAATTAAGCATCATTTTATTCGTGATCATGTTTCAAAAGGTGATATTTTGTTAGAGTTCATTAGCACTAAGTCCCAACTTGCTGATATTTTTACAAAATCTCTTTTAGAAGAACGATTTTGTCTATTGCGTAAAAAGATTGGTATTATGTCTATTGCATAAAAAACCCATCTGTATCTTTGTAAAATATTTTTCTTCCTTTTTAGTTTTTTTAATTGATGGGTTTAATAATTTTATGTGAGTGCAATTATTACTCTTCCATTGGTGCCGCCGAAGCAACTCCTCAGAAGTGTCACTTCAATCTGAACCTACCTTTTTCTCTAACTGATACAACCCTTCAATCTTCCAAGAGCCTAGTTAAGTACCCTCATTCTACATCACTTATCACCAACTCATCTACCATGGATAAGAGAAACCTCTCATCCTCCACTGCCATAAGACGAATCAGACGATTTCAAAAAACACAAAACTCTGAAGAAATTGTCGACCTTGGATCATCCCTTAACTCATACCTTCTCAAAATCGATAATAAAAGTAGTGACTCATCAGAGGATCTTCCTATTAGCCATAAAAAAAGGAAAGAAAAAGACATATGGAGCAAACCCCCAAAAGGCATGCATGTAAGAAAGGGAAAGTGGAAAGCACAAATTTTGAGCCAGAGGATAAACCGAACTTCTATGGACCAAGTGAGAAATAGAGGTTTGAGTCTTATAAGTCTAAATCTATGGCTTATGGACTCTATGTAAGTTTCTCTCTTATGAAAAATTTGCATTGTGATGTGATTTCTATCTTTCATTTTCAATGTCTTTCTCCTCTGTTTGATAATGTTGGAAATTCTGTGTATGAAGAACATGTGAGGATGTTTTATGCAAATTTGTTCGTTAATGACAAAGATGATTTGGAGTCAATGGTTCTAGGTACTCGTATTGTTCTTGATTCTTATCAATTTGAGAAGATCTTTTCTGCTAAGTTTCATGGATATGATATTTTTGTGCAAAACTCCTAGCCAAAAGACTTTGAAGTTACTTTAGAAGAGGCACAAACTTTTATTTCTGAAAAGGTCATCGAGCAAGTAGTATTAGTTAATTCTTGAGCTAATATATATATATATATATTATATTACAGTATAATATTTCCCTTTGCAGTTAGGGACTTTTAATGGTGAATATTTCAAAGTCAATTCTCAATATCATACCAAATAAATCAAGGGTAGGATCTTTACAAATTAAATTTTTTAAAAAAAAAGTAGAAGGAGAGAACAAAATTCCCACGTTGTAGCGACTTCTGTGCTTTGCATAAATGGCTCATGTACGTTATTTAATTCTTATTAGCTAGACCAGAAGGTAGCTAGGATCTGTGGAATTGGTCAAAAGTAAACTCTTTTTTGGGAAATAAAAATAACAAAACCATAGTTAGTTTACAAAATGTCTCTACTTTGATTAATTAAGAACAAATCCTGAGTTTACAGAAAGTGAACTCAGGATTTTGAAAACAAAATGTAATAACAGTCAAAGACAAATTCTCTTCAATAGTTAACACAGTAAACGATACTGAACAAGTCGAGCAATCATGTTTGCTACTTTATTTTGGTTGACATGCTACCTATATATTTTAAAATATTTTAAGCAATTAAGAAAGAATTATTGTTTCAATTTTATTTTTTTTCAATTTGAGAGGTTGCTATGCTTGTTTTTATAAAAGTAAGTAGTGAATTCAACATGCTATTTGTGTAAAGTCCCCAAAAGTATTAGGTTAATTAATCCAAAACTGAAAAATATATTCACCAAAATATAGTACGTTGTTAGATTTAATTTGCAAGTCCTTTTCTATGATGTTGTCCCCTTACGAATCATTTAATTTGGAGATTGTGATAGTCAATGAATACAACTCGACTCAACAATAATAGTTGATTATTCAATTTCCTGGCTTTAACTTAGCATTGTCTGCATTTGTTCAACCCATTCAGTTGACTTCATAAAATTTCACACTTTAATTTGTACTACGTTTTTATTCAATATAAAGTCTAGTTTTCTTCTCCTCTGTCACTTTCTTCGAATTCTGGATCAATGTTTAGGCTTTGACCAAGTAAAATTTTAATAGTATTTGGGTGTATTTGGTACGGAGGAAAATATTTTCCTAGAAAATAGTGATTTTATCACTTATTTTCCCTTGTTTGGTTGGTGAGTGAAAAAAATTTTCTCAGAAATATTTTTTAGTGTTGGTTAGAGAGTATACTATATTTTTTATGCTACTCTCATCAATCCACCTTCACCAAAATCCTCATATTTTTTGTACTCCTTCCCGCCCCTCCCTCCTCCCCGAGACTCTATTTTCTTCAAAAATTTAATTATTTTTTCAAAATTCACACAAACCTGAAAGAACTAATGTGCTACTTTACTTTTTCATACAAGAACAATGTTGAAATTTGAGTTCGATAACTAAAAAGAAAATATTTTGTTGAAAAAAGAAAGTATTCTTTGTACATCATGAAAAGAAATTACTCATTTTGTTGAATAAAAAAAAATAATTTTTCTACATCATCAAAAGAAAATACTCAGTTTGTTGAAATGGATTATATCATGAAAAGAAAATACTCGTTTTGTTAAAATGAAAGAAAATATTTTTTCTACATCAGGAAAAAAAAATACTTAGTGGGAGTTTGGACATAAAAATTGTAAAATTCCAAAAAAAAAGTGAATAAAATTTTCAAGTAAAATTGGTATTTGAAAATTAGAGTTGTGTTTGGACATGAATATAATTTTGGGTTATTTTTGAAATTTTGTGAGTAATTTGAGTGAAAATTTTAAAAAATAGCTTTTCGGAGTTTTTTAAAATTTCGAAAAATTCCAAAATGCATCTTCAAGTGAAAATTAAAATTTTATGAAAAAATGTTGATTTCGAAAAAAGTGAATTTTTTTTGAAAAAAAAGGGGAAAAATTTCTTATGTCCAAACGACTCTTAGTTTGTTGAAATGAAAGAAAATACTTTTTCTACATCATGAAAAGAAAATACTCTTTTTGTTAAAATAAAAGAAAATATTTTTTTCTACATCATGATAAGAAAGTACTCTTTTGTTGGAAAAATAAATAATTTTGCTATTACAGGAAAAAAAATATTTAGTTTGTTGAAATGCAAGAAAATACTTTTTCTAAATCATGAAAAGAAAATACTCATTTTGTTGAAATGAAAGAAAATAGTTTTTCTATATCATGAAAAGAAAGTACTCATTTTGCTGAAAACAATATTTTTTCTATTTTAGGAAAATAAAATGTTTAGTTCATTGAAATGAAAGAAAATACTTTTTCTACATCACGAAAAGAAAGAATCATTTTGTTGAAAGGAAAGAAAATACTTCTTCTACATCATAAAAAAAGTACTTGTTTTGTTGAAATAGAAAAAAAATATATTTTACTATATTTTATTGAAACGAAATAAAATACTTTTTCTACATTATGAAAAGAAAGTACTTTTTTTGTTAAAATAAAAAAAATACTTTTTTATATCATAAAAAGAAAATACTCATTTGTTGAAATGAAAAAAGTACACTATCTATAGCATGAAAAGAAAGAACTATTAATAATACAGAAAAGGCCAAAAATGCCTTTGAACTATGTGAAATAGCTCAAAAATGCCCTATGTTTGTTTTTGGTACCAAAAATATCTATGCCGTTTATATTTTGGACCACAAATGCCCTTAAACCGTTAGTCTTGCCATTGAAGGTGAAATGACAATCCAACTGGGTTAGATTTACTTACATGACCATCTACCTTAGTAATCCAGCATGGCAAAATTATTTTTTCGGAAAAATTATTTATTTCGGAAATTTTTATTAAAATACAAAATCAACACTTATTCCGAAAAAAGTAATAAATTTTCGGAAAAATTATTTATTTCTGAAATTTTTATTAAAATACAAAATCAACACTTATTCCGAAAAAAGTAATAAATTTTCGGAAAAATTATTTATTTCTGAAATTTTTATTAAAATACAAAATCAACACTTATTCTGAAAAAAAGTAAAAAATTTCCTGAAAAATTATTTATTTCGAATTTTTTTTTATTAAAGTACAAAATCAACACTTATTCCGAAAAAAGTAAAAAAATTCCAGAAAAATAAATATTTTGGGGTTATTTTTTCGGAATTGTTTACTTTTTTCGGAATAAGTGTTGATTTTATATTTTAATAAAAATATCAGAAATAAATATTTTTTCTGGAAATTTTTTAATTTTTTCGGAATAAGCGCTGATTTTTATATTTTAATAAAAATTTTAGGAAAAATACTTTTTCCGAAAAATAATTTTGCCACACTGGATTGCTTAGGTGGATGGCCATGTAAGCAAATCTAACCCAGTTGGACTGACATATCACCTTCAATGGCAAGACTAACGGTTTAAGGGTATTTGTGGTCCAAAATATATATGGCAGAGATATTTTTGGTACAAAAAACAAACGGATGACATTTTAAAACTATTTCAAATAGTTCAAGGGCATTTTTGGCCCTTTTTCCGTTAATAATATTTCTACTTTGGAAGCTACATAAGCATCAAAAGAATTTAAATTTCTGTCTACGTACCAACACTGATTTAAGATAACCCCAAGAATTATTCCTAAAGTTTGTAGCTATAGGTAAACTTATTATTACAATAAAATGAATAGTAGTCAAATCTCTCAAGTGTGTGTATATATATATATATATATATATATATATAACACAAACTGTCCAAATAATCAGACTCAAACGCATCTTTTGTCAAGATGAGAAAGAAAACAAGCAAAGTCTTTTTCTCAGTCTCTTCTTTCGATTCCTCTTTCTTTTTCTTTTTCTTTTTCCTATGTTTAGGAATACTTTTCTCCATGAAAATGGCCATGGCACAGAAAAGAAAAACAGTTCCCATGAATGTGGGAGTTGTGTTAGAAATGGATAACTGGACTGGGAAAATGGGTTTGAGTTGTATTTCTATGGCTTTATCTGATTTATATAGCTCTGATCATGGCTCTGATTATAAGACCAGACTGGTTCTCCATACACGTGACTCGAAGAGTAACGTTGTTGCTGCTGCTGCAGCAGGTAAGTTTCGTGTATATATATATAAGAATTTCTTACTTAGAGTAATTTGTCGTTAGAGTAGGTTAAGTATACTCTGTTTTCCCGGTCACCATATATCAAACTTGATAAGAAGAATTACATGTTGTTATAGATTAACTAATTAATTTGATTGTGTAGATACTTTGTGTACTATTAGTGCATAGAATTATGTGAATTCAGAGAGACGTTGTTGCTGTCACATACTTTTGTTGATTCTTGCATTCTTTGAAAATGCAGCACTTGACCTATTGAAGAATGTTGAAGTGGAAGCCATTATAGGTCCAACATCATCAATGCAAGCTGATTTCATAATTGGTTTAGGAGAGAAATCTCAAGTACCAATCATCTCATTTTCTGCTACAAGTCCTTCCCTCTCATCATTTCGTAGTCCATATTTCATTCGTGCCACTCTAAGTGATTCCTTTCAAGTTCAAACCATTAGTTCCATTATCCAATCTTTTGGATGGAGAGAAGTTGTCCCTATATACATTGACAATCAATTTGGAGAAGGAATTATACCATTCCTGGCGGATGCATTGGAAAAAATCAATGCACGTATCCCTTATCGAAGTGTTATTCCTGAATTCGCCACCGATGATAAGATAACATCCGAACTTTACAAATTAATGAGTATGCAAACTCGGGTTTTTGTTGTGCATATGACAACTTCATTTGGTGCCAAAATTTTTACTAAGGCCAAAGAACTTGGAATGATGAGTGAAGGGTATGTTTGGATTATTACAGATGCTATGACAAATGAACTTACTTCTATGGATTCTTCAGCAATTGAATCCATGCATGGAGTTATTGGAGTGAAACCCCATGTCCCGAGAAATAAAAGGCTTGAGAATTTTACTACAAGGTGGAAATTGAAGTTTCAACAAGAAAATCCAACAATTCTTAATGCAGAATTGAATGTGTTTGGACTATGGGCTTATGATTCAGTTACTGCACTAGCCATGGCAGTGGAGAAATCAAGAATCACCGGAGCACCTTTTCAGAAGCTAAACATTTCAGGTACATGTGGAAAATGGACGGGTTGAGTCAAACTTGACTGGTAAAATAAATAAACACAACCTGCCTAGTGCCTAGCATGACCTAAACTCCCCTCGTTTTTATTTTATTATTTGAAAAAAATAAAAGTTAATGTATTTTTCTTAAATTATTAGTTAAAACAAATTTACTTAGTTCTCAATCTTCAAATTTGATATTGTTTGTTTAGGTTAGGGTTTACATATTGACTCGTTTAGTTACACTTTTTCACCCCTTTTAACACAATAGTTTGACGGGTCATTTTGGACTCAATTGTTAACCAGTTGAGTCAAGTCAATAAACTAGTCATAATTTAGCTTCTTTAAACTTGGGCGTGTTTGGGGTTATTAAAAAATGATTTGATTTTGAACCTCTATAAAATTTTCAGGAAATGCAACAGATCTTGAAACTATTGGAGTTTCCAAAGATGGTCCGAAGCTTCTCCGAGCTATCCTAAACACTACTTTCAAAGGACTTAGCGGAGATTTTCAACTCGTTGATGGGCAATTACAGTCACCAGCTTATCAGATTATAAATGTGATTGGTAATGGTGCGAAAGGAATTGGCTTTTGGACAAGAGAAAATGGGATTGTTAAAAAACTGAATTTGAGAAATGGATATTCCATTTCTAAGGAGAATTTTGGGTCTATTATATGGCCTGGTGACACTACTTCTGTTCCTAAAGGTTGGGTAATTCCAACAAATGGGAAGAAATTGAAGATTGGAGTTCCAGTGAAAGATGGTTTCAGTGAATTTGTGAAAGTTACAACAGATTTTACTACTAACACAACAACAGTTACTGGTTACTGCATTGATGTTTTTGAGGCAGTGATGGCAGAATTAAATTATTCTGTTCCTTATGAATTTGTTCCCTATGCACCTCCTGGTGCAAAGACTACTGAAAGTTACGATGATCTTGTTCATCAAATATTTCTTGGGGTAAATCTCTTAATTTCTTTTTCCTACATTTTCGACAAAGACAAGACCCATTACTCGTCGAGTTTAATTTACAAAGTCCATTGAAAATACTAGGGCGGTCAAATGTGGCCCAAACCCAAATGACTCGCCTAATCCGTAAGGTTGGGTTGGTTATCGATTCGTCCATTTATTGAACTCAGCTCATCTTGACATAACTCATATAAACCCTTTGTTTTTTAGTCCAAATTGATCCATGAGTAATTTTACCAAAATATCTTAAATTCACCCCCCCCCCTCCCCCCCATTATATGTGACCACAACAAAAGAAATACAGTATTATTGTTAAATTATATAACTCATAAGAAAACAGAACATATTAATTAAAGTTTGTTATGACCTAAATTTTAGCCCACATCTCAGACCAAGTAATTTTTGGGAGGGTCATTTATTGACGTAGCCCATTTTGACCCGCCCAAAAGCGGTCCCACCCCTTCATTTGACACCCTAAAAAATACGAACGGGAACGTCCTTTGGAAAAACGTCTTGTTTCTTGAAGTGAAATACATTTCTTGCATATATATATATGTGTGTACTTTTATTTGATTCTAACATTAACCAATGAACAGAAGTTTGATGCTGTTGTAGGGGACGCTACCATTAGATCAAATAGGTTGCAACATGTTGATTTCACATTACCTTACACAGAATCTGGAGTCACAATGATGGTGCCAATCAAAGACAACAACAGAAATAAAGCTTGGGTATTCTTAAAGCCATTGACTTGGGAGCTGTGGTTAACAAGCTTCTGTTCTTTTGTTTTCATTGGTTTTGTGATTTGGGTACTTGAACATAGAGTTAATGAAGAATTCAGAGGACCTCTTTCTCACCAAGTTGGCATGATCTTTTGGTTCTCCTTTGCATCTATGGTCTTTGCGCAGAGTACTTACTTTTTCCTACTCCTTAATTTCATTTTATACGAGACTTCATTTTTAGTCTGTTCCAAAAAGAATAGAGCATTTGTAGAATTTTAAACTTCTTATTTACCTTTAATGACATGCTCGTATACTTATAGAAATGTCATGATGTGTTAAATACCACAAGTTCTAAGGGCACTTTTGGTATGTGCCAGTAGTCTTTTTTTTTTCCATAAACTTCATGCTCAGTCAAACACCGCCTTTTAAAGTGAAATAGAGGAAAACTAAAGAATATGTAATCATTATATATAATTCGAACTTCTATTCTGAATTTTCTTCTATTTGATTCTTGATACTGCAGAGGAGAAGATAGTAAGCAATTTGGCTAGGTTTGTGTTGATCATCTGGTTCCTAGTAGTACTTATATTGACTTCAAGTTACACAGCAAGTCTTACATCAACGTTAACAGTTGAAAACCTCCAGCCAACTGTTACAGATATAAAAGAACTTCAGAAGAACAAGGAGTATGTGGGATTCCAACAGGGTTCTTTTGTTAAAGAACTTCTAATAAAGAACAAGTTTGATGAGGACAGGCTAAAACAATATAACTCTTCAGAGGAATGTATTGATTTGCTCTCTAAAGGAAGTGCAAATGGTGGTATTGCTGCTGCTTTTGATGAAATTCCTTATGTGAAACTTTTGCAAGCAATTAATTGCTCGAAATATACCGTGGTTGGACCTATATATAAGAGCGATGGCTTTGGCTTTGTAAGTAACTCCTTTTTTCTCTTAACAATAATTTTCTTTTGATTTTCATCCGGTCCCTAATATTATAAAAAAGGGCATTCCGGTGCGAGCTCCCGCTATCCACGGAAACAATGGAAGAGCCGGACCACAAGGGTCTATCGTACGCAGCCTTACCCTGTATTTCTGCAAGAGGCTGTTTCCACAGCCCGAACCAGTTACGCCAAGGCTCCCCTTCCGGTCCCTAACATTATGAATTATGATTTCCATACAGGCATTCCCAATAGGATCTCCTCTGTTACATGATGTTTCAAGAGCAGTCTTGAGTGTAACAGAAGGTGAAAAGTTGGTACAAATAGAAAAAACATGGTTTGGACAACCGATTTGTTCAGATTCTAGCAAGTCACTTTCCTCCAATAGTCTTGGCCTTGATAGCTTCTGGGGACTCTTTGTCATAGCTGGAATTGCTGCAATTTTGGCTCTCCTCATCTTTCTAACAATGTTCATGCGTGATCATTGGCACATCATAAGACGATCCAATCATTCGTTCCACGAAAGAATCAGAATCTTGGCTAGAAATTTTGACAGAAAAGACTATAATAGCCATACATTCAAAAAAGAAATTGAACTGAGAGATGGAATGCGAGTTTCAGGACATATGGATGGTCCACAAAGTCCACATGATAACTCGTCAATGCTTCCTTCTCCACAACCGAATGGGCCGCCATGTCCAAGTATTTCTAGTCATACGGAAGCGACTCCGCCTTTGCATGAAGAGAATGTAGCATCTAGTACTCAAGAGAGTGCCATTATTGAGTCGGCTGTTGAACTAAGAGCAGGCCATTGATGTTTTCTCTTTTCTATCTTAAATTACCATCTTTGATTTGTATATTGGTGTGAAAGGGATTATGATTGGTTTTAGATTAGTAAAGCTTTAATATAGTATTAAGGTCATTTTTACTTCTTCCATTGTGCAAAAGATCAAGTCAGATAATATTAGAGCAATTTGATAAAAGAGAATACTGAATGACATTTTTTTTTGGGTAACAACTGTGAAATTACGATTGATAACAAATAAGCTACAAATTAGCAACACCTAAAGAGCACTCACTTCCACTGCCAATGTTTGCAGGGAGAGTTAGTCTCACAATATCATCTAATTACACCCAAGTACAAAGTAAAGTGCAGAAAATCTCTATTTCTTCTCGTTTTTCTAGATATCCTAAGCATATCTATCCTCTTTAATCTCTTGTTTAATCTGTGTTATCTCAATCTATGTTGGTACATTTACTCCCTTGAACATCTTCCAATTTCTGGCCTTCCACGTATGATACACAACAGCCCCCAGATTGCCACTACCACTTCCATCTTCAGACTTGTCCATTGTTGCCTCTTTATTTTTTCCAAAGTTTGTTGAACCTCACCAAACTGTATATGGAGACCAGTAATAAGACATGTATTTACTTTTAAGTCATTGTTTAAAATGTCTTTAGTCTTTAGCCACTGCTTTAATAAACTTTTACCCGTCCGGACGAAAATACCCTTCTGCTATAATTCGCTGAAACCTACGCAGATTGCAGAGAACTTCGCTCAAATTAAGGACCAGGTGTCCTTAATTTTTGAACTTCCAACTCTAAGTTAAGGACCAAGTGTCCTTAACTTATGAGCTTGTTACTATAAGTTCAGGACTAGTTGTCCTTAATTTATGAGCTTGTAAGTCTAAGTTTAGGACTACCTGTCCTTAACTTTTGAACTTGTAACTCTAAGTTCAGAACTACATGTCCTTAACTTTTGAACTTGGAACTCGAAGTTCAGGACTACATGTCCTTAATTTCTGTGCTTGTAACTCTAAGTTAAGGGCTACCTGTCCTTAATTTCTGTGCTTGTAACTCTAAGTTAAGGGCTACCTCTCCTTAATTTCTGTGCTTGTAACTCTAAGTTAAGGATCAAGTGTCCTTAATTTTTGAACTTTCAACTCTAAGTTCAGGACCAAGTGTCCTTAACTTACGAGCTTGTTACTGTAAGTTCAGGACTAGCTGCCCTTAATTTATGAGCTTGTAAGTCTAAGTTAAGGACTACCTGTCCTTAGTTTTTGAGCCTGTAACTCTAAGTTTAGGACTACCTGTCCTTAACTTTTGAACTTGTAACTCTAAGTTCAGGACTACATGTCCTTATTTTTTGAACTTTGAACTCTAAGTTCAGGACTACCTCTGAATTTAGTATAAATATTTAATACTTTTTGTATGTTTACAGAGTTGGATTTATTTTGTAGGATTTGTTGAACATGTTCTTAAGAGATGTATACAAGCCAATTCCAAACAAGTACAACTTGGTATTAGCTATGTAGTGGCGTTACCCAGAGAATGTGAAACTTGAGAAGGTGAAAGTTGTTCACTACTGTGCGGCGGGGTCAAAGCCATAGAGGTACACTGGCAAGGAAAAGAACATGGACAGAAAAGAGATAGAAGAAAGGGTAAGACCGTCTTTTCATATTAATTTTAATAAACTAGTGGCTACTTTTGCTCAGCATTAAAAATGCCGGATAAAAAGTAAATACCACTTTAAAAAGTAGCTGCCCCACTCAATTTCTACCCAATGGTAAAGCAAGTCAAGCAATTGATGTGGGGCCCTGAAATTTCTAATATTAAATAATTGTATGTAATGATTTGTCTTTTAAAAATATTTAGTATATCAAAGAAAAAAACATATTTTTTCATGAAAAAAATAATTTGGGACCACTAGAGATATTGGGAATAGGAATAGTTACTTTTGGATTTCACACTAAAGGCCGTGAACTTTAAGTGTGTATTCTTACCTCATTTATACACCATCATCATTTTCACACGGCCTACATTAATTTTATCACTTTATTACTCTCTCTAAATCATTCTCTCAAATAAGAGAGCAGAAAGCAATTGCCAATACTTTTTTTCAAGTTTTTTCAATGTTACATCTTTTGTTCTTAAGTATATATTATCTTTTTATTTATTTATTAAAATTGTAATATATCAACAAGAAAAATATGAATTCGAGTATTTAAAACACCAAAAAGGGAAGAGTTAAAACTTTAATACTATCCCAAAAAGGAGTTATTGTTAAATTTTTAGCTAACTATAAAAATTTTGAATCAGAAAATATGGAAGAATTTATGGTAGGTGAACAAATCACTAACAAAATTGAGCTAAACGATAATGAAATTCAAGAAGAAAAAGAAGTTGGTGAGAAATCTATCATAAATCTTTCAGAAAATCAAGAAATTCTAAGAGAATGGAATAATATCCTAGAACATATATGATCCTAGTAAAAAGATCGATTATAAGTAAAATATTAATAATTTTGTATCTCAAAAAACTAGAAAAATAAATTTTAAATAAATTTTTACTAAATTATTTTTTGTAATATCGAAAATTTAAGAGCAAATTTCATTTGTAGCCGGCCGGTAAAAACAATTATCATTCGCTAGCCATGAATTAAGCCATACAATTTATAACCTCAAATAAATTATAATGGCTAGCCTAAATTGGTCTTCTAGCAATTGCAAACTTCACAAATAGCACGTGCCCATTTATGTAGCTTGAATTCATCTTCTTTGTACTACTGCATCCCATTTATTTTGTCTTTTATTTGAGTTGTTCTTTTATTTCTTGTTCCAAGCTATACGGATAACGTGTTCCAAATCTTTTCCTCTTATTTGAAAGTATATTTTCTTGGCCATGATTAATTTTTGTCCTAACCTCATCATGTTTGATTTTTGCTTCTGTACCACGCTAAAGCTAATAAGAAGCAAGTTTAAGAGCTGAAAATATTACGTGTTCTTCACTTTGAATGAGAGCTTTATATATGCAAAGTACTTGTAATTAATTGATTTTCATTGATGCTACCTATGAAGTTTATGTCTTTTTTGAGTTGATGGTCAAGGACTCAAAGCCTCATGTATTGTAGACCAGAATAACAAGGGGAAACACTTTATACTCTCTGCGCTTTATTTAAACTATTTTAACACGAAATTTAATAAAGAAAGAAGTATATTCAAAACTTGTTGTCTTAAATATGCTATGAGTTTTTTTTTTTGGATAATAGCATTCGGGATACATTAAGGATACATTTTAAAATGAACGATACACTTTATATATACAAAATTATACATCGTAGAACAGTCTATACACTTTGGAAACACAAAAGCGCTCGGGATACATTATGGATACATTGCAAGATGCACGATATACTCTATATATAAATTTTATGCAATGTATATACTAAATATACTAAAATAGACCGGCACTATATAATTTATATGCAATAGACTGTATTATACAAACGAAGGAGGTCCAAATAAACCTCTGTACTTTCGAAAATTGTCTAAGAATACCCCTCGTTATACTATTGGGATATATATACCCCTGCAGTCATACTTTGGGTTAAATATACCCTTCATTTAAACGGAGGGACACGTGTCGTCGTCTTATTAGCCAATTCTAAATATCTCCTAATTAATTAAAAATACCCATTATTCATATCCGAAAAATAATTTTATAAAGCAATTTTTTTTTTGTAAAAAATGGAAAAAACTGATTTTTTTTTTTACTAAAAACAAAAAAACGAAAATATTTCTTTTCATTTTTTTACAAAAAAATCTGCTTTAAAAAAAACTGAAAAAAACTTTCTAAAACAATGTTTTTGTAAAAACTGAAAAATAATTTTCTAAAGCAATTATAAGCGGGAAAAAACTGATTTTGTTTTACTAAAAACTGAAAAAATCGAAATTTTCTTTTTCCAGTTTTTAGAAAAATATTGCTTTAAAAAAAACTGAAAAATAATTTCTAAAGCAAATGTTTTTGTAAAAACTACAAAACAAAAACTGAAAAGCAATTTTCTAAAGCAATATTTTTTTAAAAACTGAAAAACATATACTTTCTTTTTTTCAGTTTTTAGTTAAAAAAAAATCAGTTTTTTTCAGTTTTTAATTGCTTTAAAAAACTTTTTTTCAGTTTTGTTATCCATTTTTTACAAAAACATTGTTCTAAAAAATATTTTTCAGTTTTTTTTAAGCAGAGGTTTTTTGTAAAAATTGAAAAAAAAATATTTTTATTTTTTTCAGTTTTTAGTAAAAAAGATTAGTTTTTACAAAAAACAAATTACTTTATAAAATTATTTTTCGGGTATGGATAATGGATATTTTTAATTAATTAGGAGATATTTAGAATTGGTCAATAAGACGACGACACGTGTCCCTCCATTTAAATAAGGGGTATATTTGAACCCAAAGTATGACTGCAAGGGTATATATACCCCAATAGTATAACGAAGGGTATTCTTAGATAATTTTCGAAAGTACAGGGGTATATTTAGACCTTCTCCCTTATACAAAATATATACAAAATAGACTGTTACTATACAAAATGTGTGCGCTTGTATATGGAGTTGAAAAAGAAAAACCTGGATATCACTGAATATCCATTATGCATAACGTTGAAATATGTACAAAATAGACTATCACTATACAAAAAATATACTAAATAAACTATCACTATAAAAAATATATATAAAATAGATTGTCACTATACAAAAAATATACTAAATAAACTGTCATTATATAAAAATATACAAAATAGACTGTCACTGTATAATTTATATACAATAGACTGTCACTATACAAAAAAATACTAAATAGACTGTCACTATACAAAATATACACAAAATAGATTGTTACTATACAAAAAATATACAAAATAGACATTTCAGGCTATTAGATGTAATATGTTTGGTCCGGGTAGACATTTCGTGTCAATGAAGAAAAACATGGATTATTAAAATTTTGAGGGGTTATAGAGGATCATTTTACCTTTTTAAGGCCCCTTATTGAAGTATTGTTTTAGATAGCA